TAGACATATATGTGTGTGCTTTGTTATGTATTTGCTATGTATTATGTATTTGTCTCCACTGTCCTAATCCCACTTCCAACAGAAATTGTTTTTTTTTTTCCTCCCTCTTTCTGTATGTTATCTTAAATCACTACTACACATTTCTTTAGTAGCTTTATAAAGAAATGTTTTGGTAGCGTCATCATTCGGAATTCTGTTTTTTAGGTTTAACGCATTCGACAACAGACTTTTTGGAATTAATGAGGTGGAAGCGGAGTGTATGGATCCACAGCAAAAGTTACTCCTGGAATGCACTTATAGAGCATTGGAAGATGCAGGGGTCACTAGAGAAAATATTAACGGCTCCAAAACTGGAGTTTTTGTTGGTAAGATTCTTAAAACATGTATGTTTTGATGCCACTACTCAATTACATGCTACTACACAATTTGACTCTACTCACTGAGGGTGCTTCCAGACAGCACCAACACATGGGATTAATATGCAGGATAAACAAACCTGGGACCTCAGAGCAGGGCCCCACACAGACCTGCCAGTCCTGGGCTTTCTTACCCCACCGTCATCACAACCCTTCGGTGTCTTAAGATAAAATTGAGAACAAACAAGGGACATCTGCTGGAAGATTTTTTTTTTAAAAAAAAATCACCCAATTATGTGCTGATGCAAATACTTTAATACAAATATGGAGAGATTGCTATGTGTATATATAAGCACCAGTACATAATGGCGGGGATTTTTTTTTAATTGCAACCGGATTTCCCTCTTTCCCCAGATGCTTATGCACAATCTATTCAATATTAAAAATTTTAAAATAAACACTTCCCGAGAGCTCTAATGCCTCTCTACTTCTCTCTTGGAACAAGCTAGAAATGAGATGTGTCTGCATGGGAGCCTGAATAGCTGATCAGCTTTTTCGGGCTTTTAAAAACCAGCACAGGCGGGAAGCAGTCCACAGGGGGTAAAGAGGGAAATCCTGAACTTTACATGACTGCAAGACCACACAGTCATGGGAAAATTTGGGTTTTTTGCCCAGAATCGGGATAAAAGAGGAACTTTTTGAATCGGGGTTTCCCTCCGTTGATGCGAACAAGCGTGCATTGTGCACAAATGTCATCTGGCCAACCGCCTTTTTAACCCTTTCTCTCTAAATTATAGGTATTGTCTGGAAGCACCATGAATTCAACTTTACATTTACAGAATAAAGAAGAGATAATAATTAAGTTAACAGAAATCGGTTCACCTATATGTTAATTACACTGATTGAAACATGCTGTATTCTTGCTCGCTTTCTCATCGGCCATCTATTATTTTCACAGGCATGATGAACCAAGACTATAGACTATTAAGGAGTAGGACCAGCTCTACAA